TTTTTCCTTCCACTCAACTTTCTGTTAACATGCTTGGATACAGCACTCTGTGAACAGCCAGCTTCTTTGGCAATGAATGTTTGTGGCTTACCCTCCTTGTGAAGGGTGTCAATGATTGTAAGCTGTTTTTCTTTAACACTTCAGTTTTAGAAAGCGCTGTTAAAAATTGATTAGCCACTGAATATAATTTTTTTTCAAGGTCAGTGCCTGCACTGTAAAGAAGATTGATGAATCTGCCAAACTCACAGGATTCCTATAAACCACCAGAAGTGTGGATAGTGAGGAATGGGAAGAGTCTCAGTGATGAAACAGGATTTAGGAAAAGATAGACTTGCTTTGACAGCTTTGATCTGTTAAATTCAGTGGATATATGTACAAATGTAGCATCCAGATGTGTTTGAAAATCACCCATCAATTGCTTTATCATTGGCAAGATAATGGAGATGCCCTTGGTATTTAATCTAGTCACACTGTCATAAAACCCTGATGGTGCAAATCATGTTCACTGTGTGAATTGGTGCGAAACCGCAAGGCTAGAGATGAAAGGGCAACATCATTCACACCCAAACATTCAGAATTAATTCCTAATTATATTCACATCATCATGGAAGAAGAATGTAAATTCAATGGATATATGTACAAATGTAGCATCCAGATGTGTTTGAAAATCACCCATCAATTGCTTTATCATTGGCAAGATAATGGAGATGCCCTTGGTATTTAATCTAGTCACACTGTCATAAAACCCTGATGGTGCAAATCATGTTCACTGTGTGAATTGGTGCGAAACCGCAAGGCTAGAGATGAAAGGGCAACATCATTCACACCCAAACATTCAGAATTAATTCCTAATTATATTCACATCATCATGGAAGAAGAATGTCACATGTAAATTTGCCAGAGTGCAAATCACAATTTTATTTCAGATACAGTCTTTTGTTTATTTAGTTCTATTCAGTGCAAATACAAATGATATATCTGTGTTTTTCATCTCTGTCTCAAAGCCGATCACTTTCTTTGGGCGCCACAAAAGCAGCCGTATAGAGCAGCTACACCCATCAATATCTTATCGCACAATGTTCTTATATCCAAAGGCCACTGTTACAGCCTTGTCCCTTGAGAAAGGTGACATTTTTCTGCTGCAAATGCCAGAATTTGCATTGCCCACCATCCTGCTTATGTTCCGGTTGACTGGCGAACGATTCATTTTAGTTTGCCAGCACAACGCACAACATGCAGCCTAAATGTGGGTGTTGTTTACAGATGAAAGCAAGCTGTTCCAATGCAAGATTACTTTTTATGAACTCACCGAAAGTTCTCAGTGTGTGGTTAATTATGAGTCTCTCAAAATCAGCTTTCAAAAATTTGACAGAAGATGCTTTTGACAAACCCACAGCCATATGAGCTGGTTCTGTTTAGTTAGACTTTTTGGGAGGTGCCAGCACTAGATATCATGACACGAATCATCTCAGACTGAGTCCAAACACAAATGAATATCTCCCATCCTCTGATGTCTGAGAGGAATTCCAGATATGCTGGTTTCCCTGCGATGCGCTGAAGATCAGGATCAACTTTCACCATGCGGGGCTCCTCCGCTGTCATTGCTCGTACCAATGCATGCGTTTGACGGATTTTGTCTGTATGAGAGCTTACTCGGGTGGTTTTAAATGAAAAAACAAACAAACTGACAGCAGAAATCAGTGATGCGAACGGTGTGCTGACTGAGCATCTAAACTGATAAAGGAATGCAGCCGTAAAGACAGGACAGAGAGACAGACAGAGTGACAGGGGGCTGAAGACTTTCCATTATGTTTGGTTGAGGGAACTGAAATTGCTTTTGCAGTGTATAATGATGCTGGTTTACTAGCGATTCAACTGAATGGTTTTCTGATCTGAAGTGTATGGATGAGACAAGCACAACCAGCCTCTCTCGAAACAGACTGGGAAAACTAACCTGGAGAAGTAACCAGGATGGCCGAGTGGTTAAGGCGTTGGACTTAAGATCCAATGGACAAATGTCCTCGTGGGTTCAAACCCCACTCCTGGTAGCGTGAATTTTAAACAGAAAACAGTAATTTGGCTGAACAGTATGTGGTTATGTTACAAACAAATTAGTTTCTCAAAACTAGTTCTTAAGTACCAATAAAAGCAACAAAGGGTTACTTTGCATTACAAAGTGATCAGGATGGCTGAGTGGTTAAGGTGTTGACATAAGAGCCAATGGACAAATATCCTCATGGGTTCAAACCCCAATCCTGATAAATCAATGTCATTTTCAAAAAGAATATAGCAATGTGGCTGTGTTGGAAATTGAACTGAAGTGTTTCCTATAAGATCCAACAGACAAATGAGGATTCAAACTCCAATCAACTAACTTCTCGACTATATTGAGTTTCGGTAATAACGTTGTTGAATATCCTGCCTTTGTATTCATTCAAAATGGATTTTACATCAAATGTGAGGAACAAATCAGGATTTATAAAGGCAGAAACTGACGTGAAAATTTGACGTGAACATTCCTCTCTTAACCAAGACATTTAACCTCGGGTTGCTTCAGGAGGACTGTTCCTGTAATAAACACCCTTCTGCTAGAAAGGAAAGTATATGCTAAATGACTACTACGTATTATTATCAATAGCCTTATGGACCAGCCAGGACAGATGAGAAGAACACCCAAAAATGTAGTATGTCATATCAAAAGTATATGTTCCTCTGCCTTCATGCATCTTAAACCTCTCTTCACCTGCATCTCTCCTGCAGCAGAACACTTTCACCTCTTGATATCTACATGTACTGTATTCTGCAGGCAACATTCTCTCGTATCCGCCCCATATGTTCTCTCACGCTGCCAAATCATAGATCTGAAGCCGACATTTTTCAGCTAGCTGTGTTTTATGATCACAAAATTAAGACTGAAGGTGCTTTCAGTTCACCATTTATTATAATTTTGGCCCAGTTTACACCTAATATTAAAGTGATAGATTGTCCAAAAAGCAAAATATTGTCATCATTTACTCACCCTAAAGTAATTTCAAACGTGCATGACTTCATTTCTTCTGTGGAACAAAATGCATGGAATCCATAGAAAATGCATCTCCTGTAAGCACCTTTTGTGGGAAAGACCTCTATTTTTGAACAGATATTAATACCAGGTGAACACGCGGTTATTTTCTTGTTTAATTATATTAAAATGTGTCTGTTTTGCCTCCATCCTGTTGCCCATTTGATTCTGCTGTCCTTGGCCCTTTGTTTTCAGTTAATGAGCTCACCTTTGAGCTCTGAGCAAGATACAAAAGAAACCAGATGCCATCACATGTTCAATCGATCCAGCCTTAACGCCCCAGTCCTGCCCATCTCATCAGAACTTACACAGCAGTGCTGACAAATGAGGCTCTGTGTTCCTTCGGGTAGCATCTGCAAATATCATGGCAAAAACACTAACCAGGGAGGCTGAGTGCTTAAGGCACTGTGCTTCCAATAGAGTTCCACTGGACAAATGTCCTTGTGGATTCAAACCCCACTCCTGGTAGATAATGTCAATTCTAGCTTAAATGAATCATTCATCAAACTAATCAAGTAAACCTGCATTATCTTATAGTGATGAGAGAAAGCAGACTCTTAAATGCATATTATAGAAGCTATTTCTAACCTACAACCCAATAAAAAACACCAGGATGGCCGAGTGGTTAAGGTGTTGGATTTAAGATCCAATGGACAAAACCAAAAACTATAAACAGTTATGGAAAAACTACATTACTTCTGTCCTAGAGCAGATAGTTAATTTGAACAAAGAACTAATGGACAAAACACCAAAGTTTGAATAAGAAACAACATATTTCAAAATATCTTTAATGAAAGCAGATCAGGATGGCTGAGTGGTTAAAGTGTTGGACTTATGATCTGTGGGTTCGAACCCCACTCCTGGTAGTAGGATTTAAGCCAGACACTAAAGTGAAAATCTGTGGCAAACTATAGTTGGTCCACAAGAGAGAGTTATTTGTAACAATGTTAAAGATTAAAAGCTACATAAGCATGACTCTCTAACCTTGAATCTGTTGAACTATGCTTCCTTCAAGTGCACCTGTTACATGAAGTGAGTGATTAACTTTAAACTTTTCCATAAATTGTGTAATTCCAATGATTGAAACACAGCATGTAAAATTAAAATAACTTCCAAATCCATTTATTACCATTCACTACAAACCTGCTTTCCAAGACATTTCAAATTGACATGCCAACGTCTCTCTGTATTCTGCAACTAGGTTATCATCCAAAATTTTTCTCACTTTGCTTTATCATTAATGTGCTCGAAACGCGTAATTATGATTATTCCAACTACACTAGAAGGGGACATTAGCATTGGTAGGTGACCATTTCTGCTAGAGCTAAGTAAATAATAAAAGTAGCCTGTTCTAAGTTGATTAGGTGTTGAAATGAATCTGTTTAGCTTGCAAAAGCATTTACATATGTTCATATGTTGGTGAAAAACAGACTTAATAAGAGTAAAGACTAATAAAACAACAAGATCTAAAAGCAGACATTTTTGCTACATTATTAAAGATCGTACCTTGCCCATGCCAGGAGTGTCTTTAACTTTGTTGACTGCCCGTAAGAGGCAGGGCGGAGCAGGGGGCGGAGACACCTGCAGGATGCCGCTGAAGTTGGTGGGAAAAAGGGGTGGATCACATGCCACAGGGGGCGCAGGGCGCTGCTTCTTCTTCTTGGCAGACAGATTCAATTTCTGGGCAGCCCTGAGGATAAACAAACACAAGCAAAGTTAAAACTAGAACAGATGTGTATATGTATAAAAACGCTGCGACCCCTTGGCTGTTTACATTTATTTCAAGTTTTTGTTTGTTTAGGGAAAGTGTTCTGTATTGCAAGTTTAAAATACAGCTTGCAAAGTTCAAATGTAACAATGCAGACCAAAACTGATTTTGTGAGCAATCAAGCAAAGCGGTACAGTTTACGTTTTTCTGTGAATTTCTTGTGTCCATCTCAAAACAGACTGATGAAGATTTGTGAATTGTTAATTACTCTTTCAAGTCATTACAAACACTCACAGCCAATCAGCAGAGAAAAGATACATCTGTAAGGTCTTCAATACCACAACAACAGCATTTCCAGCATTCTTTTACTGCTGAATGCTCACAGAGAACAGGAGAACAACAGAGAGAAAGAGAGCGATAAAGAAAAGTACACTTCAAAGCTGAATATTGTTATGAAATGAAACCCTAAGCCATGCTCCAGAATATCTCAAATTGGACAGACGGACAGACAGACAATATCAACACCATAAAACAGAACCAGGATGGCTGAGTAGTTAAGAAGTGACATGTGGCCAAGTATGGTGACCCATACTCAGAATTTGTGCTCTGCATTTAACCCATCCAAGTGCACACACACAGCAGAGAGTAGTGAACACACACACAGAACAGTGGGCAGCCATATTGCCTGGGGAGCAGTTGGGGGTTTGGTGCCTTGCTCAAAGGTCTCACCTCAGTCATGGTATTGAGGGTGGAAGAGAGCAGTGGTTATTCACTCCCCCCATCGACAATACCTACCAGACCTGAGACTCAAACCCACAACCTTCAGATTACAAGTCCGACGCTCTAACCATTAGGCCACGACTGGCATTGGACTTAAGATCCAATGAATGTATATCCTCATGGATTCGAACTTAAACTGCTTTTATGTTGTCAATACGTTAGAAATTATAAATTAAAAATCTGGCAGGGGCCAATTGTGTCTACTTGGCCTTGAACTTGAAAATGGTTGTCTATGCCTTCACTGACCACCAAACCTTAACATTGTCCTTACAAATGGGGTGCAAGTAACTTATATCTCCATGCATCAAGAAATCACATACACAGTGGCAACCAAAGTAACTAAGTTGATCCATCTTTACAGGATGATTGTACTCTGGATATCAGGTGAAATCCTTGTTTATTTAGTGCTTGAAGAAATATTGAGAATGGCTTTGACTCGGGAGCAGGAGAAGTGAGGGTCGATTGATTCTAACCATGGTCTCGCCGCCTGTTAGAGACGGTTTCAATTGGCTCTTAGAGAAGTATTGATCAATCAGTCTAGCATTTTCACCTGACCAAGCATATCTGTGCAGATGCTCATCACAGCCTCATTTAGACTCCCACTGGATCAGGGATCGGATGATGGAGGCTGAAAAACTGAAACACCTCAAGTGGTCAAATACAAAGAGACATAAAGGATTTTGGTGCAGGGATGAAGAGAGCGGTGATCCGAAAATATGGCATGGGATAAATAATTAGTTTATTTGTTGCTGGGGACCCAGAAAAGTATTGCAAAACATATTTTCCAGACCCTAATCTATTTATTAAAAAATTCTTATCTGAGAAGTCATGTTTAGGGTGTGATATGATTGTTTGCTGTTTTGATGCAAAAACAGTATTAAAACCTTTTTATAGACTATTTTACTCTGAATCTGTATTCACTGTGTGGATAGAAATATTGTAAAGACCTTAGTAGTAAGAAAGAAAGAAAGGTCAACCAGCTTTACCAAAAAGACCATGCTGGTTGACAACAGCAGGCTACAGTAGCCCACCTACCAGATGTGCACTAACCAGCACTGAAATTCATGCTGGTCTAAGCAGATCTTTTCAGCAGGAAAGACAATAAGACTGCTCTTTTCTATTTGGGTGCACATTCTAAAGGTCGTGTTGTGTGCGTCTGGCAGTGATGCTTTAATGAACTGAACAGAGCTAGAAAGGTAAGAGACATCACACACAACATGACAGGGCAGATCTACACTCCAAACTTCAACACAGACATCATCACAAACTTCCTCCCAAGGGATCCAGAGGATGCATGAGTCAAATTTTCCCAGATTAGCAGAAGGAAAGTGTCAGTTATTTCACTTTGCTGTAGTATTACCTTGAGGCACAAACAGTCATTTTGAAGCTCTCCACCTTTGCCAACTTGTGCCAGTCTATTCAAGGTCAAAGATACAGACAGGAGAGAAAGACAGCTCACAATACAGGCATCTGCAGTAGCTCAGGTCTCCTGGCACTAAAATCACTTCACATCATATAGAAATACACCTTCAGCCTCTGGCTATCGTAGAAAAACTCGAGAACTGTGGTTCAGACCTGCTATTTGATAAAGCAAAGAAAATATTTTGCGAACTGATCAAATTTCTGTCGAGAGGAGTGGAGAGAAGTGGTTACTGTAAGGGAAAAAATTGAGGCAACAATAATAAACACCCTGGCTGATAAGAACAGGTAAAAATATAGCTGGAAGTAATAATAACACTCAGTGTTTGTGTATAAATCAGGTCTAGAGATACAGTTACCGTGCAAGCTATGAAATCATCAGACTGAGCATTCTAGACGCCAACGGTATGAGAACTTCCTTAGAAATGAGACAAATTATCACCTGGATTCATTGTCAGGGATATGAAGTGTGTGTTTGTGTATAAAAGATGTGTGTAACCCCCTAAGGGTTGTGACAAAGTACATGGCTGTGCTCCACGACGATGTGTGAAGTGTAAAGTGAGGTAATTATTGACACTCATTAATGTCAGGAAAACAGTTTTCTCTCTCACACACATCGTTAACGAACACAATGACCAAATCCTTAATGAGCTTGCAAGGAAAGTCTTGTAAAGTTTGACGCAAACTGTTGTCTCCACCATATTATTATATCCATCTAATTTGAGCCCTCTTGTCCTACATAAATAAACATAGCTTACCATTCATTGTTACCTGCCCGAGACAGACCTGAGGAAACTAGATGGAAATTATTCTTGTTAAAAGCCAAAACACGTCAACAGGGAAATTGTATGAAAATTAGGAGACACTTTGCTTGAATTGGCTTGAACCAAACTCAGGCGAGATGTGAATGTGTTATCTTGAAGAGGCGTTAATGAGATTTCCTTAAATAGCTTCTTAGAGGAACACTCTGATTTAGAAAACAGAAAACATCTCTCCTTCTCATCATCATCTCCAAAAAAGTACAACTTACATAATCCTTAAGTCATCCTAACCCTCATAAGCACATAATGAAATATATAAACACAAAATAAAATAATTTAGCCATTAAATTAAAGCACAGTCACAAATATTTAAACAATAAACTGTACAAAACACACTGCCATGATGCTAGGGAGCTCTAGGTGGTTGCCATGGCATTACCATTCAGTTGCTAAATTCTTCTGTTTATCAACATGTTGCTATGGAGTTGCTAGGCTGTTTTGGATTGTTGCCAGGGCCTTGATGTACAGTTGCTAAGGCCTTCTGTTTGTCAGCCTGTTGCTGTAGCGTTGCTAGGATGTTCTGGGTGGTTGTCAGGGCTGTTGCTACAGTTGCTAAGATCTTTTGCCTGTCAGCATGTTTCTATGCTGTTGCTAGGGTGTTCTGGGTTGTTGCCAGGGCATTGCCATACAGTTGCTAAGATCTTCTGCTTGTCAATATGTTGCCTATGGAGTTGCTAGGGTGTTCTAGGTGGTTGCCAGGGCATTGCCATACAGTTGCTAAGGTCTTCTGGTTGTCAGGATGTTGCTATGGAGTTGCTAGGGTGTTCTGGGTGGTTGCCAGGGCATTGCCATGCAGCTGCAAAGATTGTTTGATTGTCAGCATGTTGCTATGGCGTTGCTAGGATGTTACAGGTGGCTACCAAGCCATTAGTATGTGATTGCTAAGGTAAATGTATCTGAAATAAAGGCCTGTTCACACTAAGAACAATAACTATATTATATTAATATTGTTCTTGTGGTGCTATGCTATATTCAAAAAGGTGAATATTTATTTTATAATAAGTTTTTATCATAAATCTGACCTCCACATAGTCTCATCTTAGATTTCTTGAGTAATAGAAACCTACCCAAAGTAAGTCCCAATAAAACTATACACCAAATTAACTCAAACAAATGTAAATATTTAGACTAAATGTTAGAGAATTTTGTTTCACCTTAGCAAACAGCATTAGCAAGACATTTCAGTCCAGTGAGGCTAGAGAAAAAGATTACTGGTTTCTCACCTGTCCATCATTTAGGGGTCCCGAGGAGCCCTAAGTGTCCAGTTCTGTCTTCCTGTCCGCTCTTAAACAGGTGTCCACCAGATTGAATGTGTAGTCTGACAGCTCATCAGGAATCCATTAGTGCTCCATGTTGTGCTATTTGTGTATGGTAGATAATGTTGAGCGCCCCTCCTCTAATGTATCTGCAGCAGATCGACCGAAGCGGTTCCTCGGCAATGAACAGATAGCTTAATCCCCACACCTGAGCACTCCTGACTCCTACGCTCCGGCTCGCCAATCTCATCTCTCCCTCTCTTCCTCTCTCTCACACTTTGACCATATCTTACTCAGTTTCTCTCCCCCATGTCTCTGTTTGGCTTATTCTTCTGATTACATTGTCCAGGAAAAGATGTCCACGCTCAAGAAGAAGCGAGACCGGGCGAGAACATCCAAACAGGAAGCAGGGAAGACACAGATAGGAAAAACATCACATTGCTGCCTCTCAGCCCCTGTGCTCATCTATAATGTCTACTATTCAATCCCCGCACCAATCTCGTTCTCTCTCTCGCTCGCTCTTTCTCACTCTCTCCATCTGTAACATACCTCATACTTCTCCAAGGATTTCTTTTCAACACCACAGGCAACAGTAAAGTTGTACCCAGTGCTCTGGCACCTCTGCACTCACTATTTCCATACTGTTCCAGAAAATCAGACAACAATGGCCGCAAACTAAATGACACCAGAATACATGTCCAATGTT